CTGGGGTGGGGGGGGGGGCTGCATCCCTGCAGCAGTGGGTCAGAGCTGAGTGGGATGCTCAGCAGGATGCTCTGCCGCTCACCCTGCCGATGGTGTCGTCTTTGGCAAAGCTCTGGGTGCACCAGATCCTGGTGCTCCTCCTGCCTTTCTTTGGCCTCTCCGTGGCGGCTGAAGGCTGGGAGGAAGAGGAAGGGGCTGGAGATGGGCCCTTGCCATCAAGGGTGATGCTCAGCATCATGGCCATGTCCCACTCACCTGGGTGCCGGAGATGAGGGGTGCTGAGGGGATGCGGTGCAGGGCCTCCAGGCTCTGCAGCATTCCCGTCAGCTCCTGCAGCTTCGCCTGGCATTCCACCAGCTCTGCAATGGGCACAGAGTAAGCCCCGTCAGGGAGAGGGGATGGGGCATCACCCCCTGCCCCACACATCCCCTCCTGCCCCACTGACCGGCCGAGCAGCGCTCCAGCCCCTCGCTGTCCTTCAGCCAGGCGTTCACCTTGTCCCGGGAGCTGGCCAGGGTGGAGAGGGCAGGAGCACTGCCCGAGGGCAGGATCCGGGTCCACTGGCCCTGGAGGCACAGCCAGGGCTGCCATCAGGAGCCCCACACCCGGACCCTGCCCCACATCATGCCCCCGAGGTGTCACCCACCTGCATGTTGGGCCCTGCGGGATCCCCCCTCTCACCCTGGTGATGGGAGCAGAGGCTGCTCACCCAGCTGGAGAAGAGCTCTGGGGACTTGATCTGTGGGGCAGGGGTAAGTTGATGGTGGGGGGGTTGGGTCACACATAACCCAACACCCCCCCCCCCAGCCCCATTGCAGCCCCAGCAGCACCTTGAGGTGGTAGATGTTCTCCTCCGTGTCCAGGTCAACCCGCTGTGCCTTCTTGTTGACGGACATGACGGACAGACGGACATCGATGGCACCGTGCAGTTTGCCCTTGAGGACCTGGGGGAGCCCGGGGATGCCTGTCAGGGGGAAGAGCCCCCCTTCCTCATGGGGTCTGTGGGGTGTCAGCCCTGCCCTGAGCCCATGGGGAAAGGTGCACGGGTGCAACCCGGCCCCGTACTCACATCCTGGCGCGTGGTGGCATATTTCAGGATGCCGTTTTCCAGCACAAAGTACCTCTGGGGATAGAGAGGGGCAGTTGTTTGGGGGGGGAAGTAGAGACTGATCCCTGCAGCCCCTTATCCAGGGGTTCAAATCTCCACCCAGCACCAGTCAAATGCTGGCTCCTTGCTGCCAGCTCTGCCCGTTACCTTGTGCCAGCCCTTCAGGGGCCATTTCCTCTTCTTGAGCAGATAGCCCTCGTGTCGCTGCGGCTCCGTGCCCGGGCTGCCCCGCACACGAGGCTCCTCCAGCACCTCCCAGCTCTCAGAGCCCTGCAGGAATGAATGGGGGTCAGTGTGGGGCTCCTTTGGCTGATGGGGCCTTGTCCCCAAGCACTTGGTACCCGTGGGGATGGGGCATCCCTGTATAACACCCTTCCTACAGTGGGGTGAAGCCCCCCCAATGGAGACCCCACGGTGCCAGCACTGGATCCCACTGAGCGCCCAACCTGCTGAACGCTGCTTTGCTTGGAAGACACGGTGCTGTTGGAGCGGGACAGGGCCTTCCTCGGCGAGGAGGCATCCTTCTCGTGGCTGCCCATGGTCGGGGAGCAGATGGGGATGCAGGGACCGCGTCGAGCCCCTGCTCTGGTCAGTGCTGCGGGTCTGAGCTCGGCTGTCACAGCGGTGGGAGCCGCTGCGAGGAGAGGACCCCACGTCAGGAGCCCACCCTGCCCCATCCCCTCACGGCAGTGAGGGCTGGAGGGGGATGCTCTGCCCCCCTGTAAGTGGGAGCCTCACCCAGGACCTTCTGTGTGAGACGGAGCCTTGGACCTACCCAAGGCCTTATCTCGCCTGCAGCACCCAGCCCTCGCCCGCCTGCTGGGTCCAGAGTCCACTCCTGCTCCATCACCCCACACACCCGGTGCCACGGGGCAGCCCCACAGCCAGGACCCGGGGTACAGAGCCCTGCACCAGCCCCGCTCCATCCCGAGCCAGGATACGGCCCCCTCCAACCCCCGACGTCTCCCATAGGATGCTTCCCTTTGACCTTCTCAATTACAGGAGGGGGAAACTGAGGCACGGCCCCCCCCTCCATCCCCGTGTCTCACCCGGGGATGGCAGCGAAGCCCCGCTACCGCCCGCACCGACACCTCCGGCCCCGCGCAGCGCTGCCCGGTGGGGAGGAGGCCGGGGGGTCCCCCAGCCCTACGCAGCTTGGCAGCGATCGGGCCCCCCCCCCCCGGCAATGGGGGGGTCTCCAGCGAAGCCTCCGCTTGCTCCGCGCAGGACGCGACCCCGGTAACGCAGCGGAAAGCCCGGCCCGGTGCTTCCCCCCCCTCCGCCCATCCCCGTGTCCTCCCGCCTGCCCCTCGCCGGTGGCACCGGGCGGCAGAGCCCGGGTCCTGCTGCCGGAGCTCCCCCCGCCCCGCCCCACCTCCATCCCCGGGGTCGGGTCCCCCGGTGCTCACCCGGGCGGCCGGGACCGGTCGCATCCTGCCCGGCGGCTGCAGGAACCGGAACACGGAAGGAGGCGGAGGCGCTGGGCCGGAGCCGCTCGGCTCTGCCCCCTGCTCCGTGGAGGACCGGAGCCGGCAGCGAGCCGGGACCCCCCCATAACCCCGCACCGAGCCGGATCCAGCCCCGTCCCTCGCCATACAGGGGGTGCATCTTGTCCAGGCTGCCCCCCCCCCCCCCCAGCTCTGCTCATGGGGGTCAGGGGTACCCCCAAGCACAGCCAGCACTCTATGGGGGTCCCAACTTCCCCATTCCCCCCGGGACTTCCCTCATCCCCAGCACTGCTCTGCACACAGAGCCCTGGAGGAGCACACAGCCCTCCCCTCCCACAGCATCAAGGGGCTGGGACCTTCCCCACCTGTCCCCCAAAATCCAAGACGAAGCCTCTGGCATCAAGACCACTTGCTTTAATGGGTACAGCAGGATGCTGCAGTCGGTTGTTACAACACGTTCCCCCTCGCTGTCCCCATTCCGAGGGGTTGGAGCACCCCAATTCCTCCCCGCCACACGCAGCTTCCACTGGGTGACCCCAGCACCCCTCTGCCTGCAGCACCCAAAACACGGCGGGGCTGTTCCCCACAGCCATGGGTGCAGGGAGCAAAGGGAAGGGCTCCAGGGTGGTGCTGCCAGACCCTCGGTCCCACCGCTGGCTTCCCCCCAAGTGCCAAACCTTTAACCCCCGGCCCCCCCACCCAGTGAAGGGGCCGAACACACGGGGCAGGGCCGGGTCCCAGCATCAATGAGCCCCTGTGGGCTCTGGGGTGGGCTGGGCTGGGGTCCCCCCCTCGGCCTCCTGCAGCCTGCGGATGTGCTGGTCCAGCAGAGCAGTGAGGTGTGCGGAACTGCGCTGGAGCAGGGAGGACGTCTGGGAGGGCAGGAGGGACAGGGCACCCACTGCCTGCCCCTGGGCAACCTCCAGAGAGGGCAGCTTGGCAAAGTTCTCCACTCCCTGCCTGCTCAGGATGGTGTCGTCGATGCAGGCGCCTGGAAGAGAGGAGCAGAGCTGAAGAGGGGACACGGAAGGGCTCCATCGTCCCCAGAGGAAACGCTTGCTCCTGCCGGCAGGGCTCCCACCCCTCGCCGGCCATCCATCCCCTCGTTTTAATGGACACGGATGCAGCTTCCCATTGGAGCCAGGCCACGGGGAACGCTCTCACCCAGGAGGTTGATCTGTGGCACTCCCTTCAGCACCCGCAGCATCTCCTTGGCCTTCGCTTCCCGGCTCACCAGCAGGATGTTACGGGCCACGAAGAGAGGGAGGAGGTTCCTGTACTTGGACTGCGACAGCACGGGCCTGACGATCTGGGGGAGAGAGAGCTCTCAGCCGAGCACAGAGGCTGCTTCCCACCCTTGAGGAAGGCTCCGGCACCTTCCCCTTGCTGCCACTCCGGCAGCTCTGCCCCTACCTCGTTGAGGAAGAACTTGACCTCGATGTTGTGCTTGCGGAGGTAGTGCCTCAGCAGCACCATGTCCTCCCCGGGCATGGCGTTGTACTGGCACACGGCGATCATCCGGTTATCCCGGAATGCCTCCTCCACCTGCCGCCGCAGCAGCCGCACGTAACCGTCGTCCTGACGGGATCACAGCAGCCATGGGACACAGGGAAGGAACCCCCGGCTGCTGCCGCATCCGGAGCCTCCGCCAGCACTCGGTTATCTCCTCCTGAACACCCTCAACGGGATGAAACCGGGCAGCAACACCCCAGAGAGCTCCGCCACGGGGCGGGGGGGGGAGCCCCAGCGCTGCGGGGAGTAAAGAGCCCCTCACCCATAACAATTATTACCTCCTCCACCACTTCGGCTTCCTTCTTGCGGGGCAGGCAGCGCGGCGGCACGGCCGGCCGGGGGGCCACGTACTCGGTCACGGCCATGAGCTTCTGGCGCTGGAAGTGCATGGCCTTCCAGTGGCGGGTGACCGCCTTGGAGCCGCGGCGGACGAGCTGCAGGGCGGGGAGCCAGCCTGCGGGCAGGGGCACGGGTAAGGACGGGAGCAGGGGCAGGAAGGAGCGGGCCGCATCCACGGGGCTGGAGCCGGCCCTCACCCCGCCGCCATGGCGCCCCTCCGCCGCTCAGCGCCGCCATCTTCGCGCAAGGCCTTGTGGGCACCAAGCCCCGCCCCTCCCGCCGCCGCCCGTCTCCTAGCAACGGCCACGCTGCGGCCTGCACCGCCCCGGGAGCCGCTCGGTCCCGGTGACCCCGATCCCAGCCCCATGGTGCCCGCAGCTCCCCGGCTCTCTTTGCCCGGCCTGGGGGTCCCAGCGCTGCCCTTGCCCAGCCCCAGAGCCCGCGGGTTTCTGCCCCCCATTGCCCCAGCGCCCGGCCTCTCACAGCCGGCGGCATCCCCGCAGCGCAGCCACCCGAGGGCCCAGCGCAGGGACGAGGACACCGGAGCCGTGGCCGGGCATGGGGACACTCGGCTGGGGGGGAAGCGAACCCTCACCGACAGCCTCATCAGCACCAGGATGGTGGAGCCCCCCCATGCCGAGAGCCGGTGAGGGTCCATAGAGCCCCCCTGCACCCCCAACCAGGCGGGGGGGGGGGGGGGGTGTCTCTGTGCCCCAGGGACACCCCGAGCACCCCCTCTCCTCCAGAGCCTCCGAGCTGCCGGCCCCCTGCACCATCCGCTTGGACCGGGAGAGCATCGGTGCCATCGGGAGGCTCCGGAGCCTGTGGGACATCCACAGCCTCTACCTGCAGCGGGTACGGGGCAGGTAACACGGCTCAGTGGAGGGGCTTTAGGGTCCTCCTGAGCTCTGCAGCCACAGCCCCACAACCCTCTCCATAAAGCTCCTGCGTTGCCCCTGCGAGGTCAGAGCTCCCAAAGTCTCATTTTTTAATGCAGTTTCTTTGTCTTCTCTCCCCCCCCCCCCCATCCAGAACCAAATTGAGAAGATCGAGAACCTGAGCAGCTTCCCCAGCCTGCGGTACGGGCACCCCAAGGACACGGCTTTCCATGGGCAGAGGAGAGCAGGGATCCCTCCTTCCCTTGGCAGAGCCAAGGGGGGGTCCCAGCTGCAGCCCCTGACCCCGGGGGCTGTGGTGTCCCCCCCACCTCACGCCGCTGCCCTCCCCGTGCTCTGCAGGTTCCTGTCCCTGGCTGGGAACCGCATCCGCAGAGTGGAGAACCTGCAGCCCCTGCAGCACCTGCGCGGCCTGGACCTGTCCCACAACCGCATCCGGACGCTGGACCCAGGTGGGAGGCAGGAATGGGTCTGGATGTGGCTTGGGTCTGCCTCAGAGGGGCCCTGGGTACCCGGGAACGTCGGCAGGCCCTGGTCTGGGCTCTGCCCTCAGGTCCCAGTCTGTGGCTGCTGGCTCTGGAGCAGGTGAAGAGCTGCAGGAGATGGGGGGGGGTGTGGTGGTGGATGGGGGGGGTCTCAGCTTCCATCTCAGCCCCTTTCTGCCTTCCCTTGGACCTCTGCAGCTGAGCTGCCCCGCAGCCTCCGTCTGCTCGACCTAACAGGAAACGAATGCACCCACCAGCAGGGATACAGGTGGGTCAGTGGAGGCTGCAGCCAGCCCCCCACACCATGGGAGACCCCACAGTGGGGTACAGTTCCCCCCCCCAGGATCACATACAGCCTTTTATTTGCTCTTCCTTTGCTGCTTGCAGGGAGCTGGTACTGGGTGCTCTGCCCCACCTCCTGCAGCTGGATGCTCAGCCCATCCATGGCAGTGTGGATGAGCAGGAGGAGGAAGGAGGCTCCTGCAGCAGTGAGGATGAAGACGATGAGTTGCTTTCTGCGCCAAGCAGCCCTTTCACTGCAGGCAAAGGTGCTCAGGTTGAAGCAGGGCACGTTGCATGCTTGGGGGTTAAGCAGGCTGGTCCCTCTGTCCCCGGGGGTCATAGGAGTGGCAGGGAGCTCCATCAGATCTCCTGTAATTCTCCCTCCATTCTACCTGAAAGGAGGATGGAGTGAGGTGGGGTCGATGTCTTCTCCCAAGCCATAGGACAGGCTGCACCAGGGGAGGTTTAGATGGAGCTGAGGAACAATTCCCTCCCCAAAGGGTGCTCGGGCGTTGGAACAGGCTGCCCAGGGCAGGGCTGCACTCACCATCCCTGCAAGTGTTCCCACACCCTCAGTGCCATGGGTTAGTGGTGGCCTTGGCAGTGCTGGGGAATGGTTGGACTGGATGAGCTTAAAGGGCTTTTCCAACCTGGTTGATTCCATGGTTCTGTGATCCCTGGCAGATTTCTTTGCGGATCTCCACCAGGAGCTGGCCAGGCACTCTGAGAGGAGGAGGAGGGAGGCCCTGCAGGAACATCAGACCCGTCTGGAAGAGCTGGAGGAGCTGCGAGAGCGCCGGGATCTGCTGCTGCCACCCATGCCACTGAACCCACGCAGCATCACGGCCCCGGGCCCCCGGCAGCATCAGTCCCATCCCCAGGTGAAGCAGGGGACACCACTGCCACTGCTGCCCCAGCGAGCTCCCAGCAGGAGCCAGCCCCAGACCAAGGCTCTGGAAGAGAACACTTGTGCCAAGGGAGCAAGAAACAAAGAGTTGCCCCCAATACCCAGCAGCAGCACAGCACCACGCGGTTGGGATTAAAGCTTCTTTATTCCTACACCAACCCCCTGTCTGCCACAGAGCATCCAACCCCTGCAGCCTGAGTGTGGGAAAGACACATGGGGCCACAAGCAGGACCCCACATCCCACTCCACGTCCTTCTCCTTCTCCCTGCAGCTGCGTTTCAGGCCACAGCCACCTCTCAAAGTGCTGGTTCCTCAGCGAGCTGGAGGCTCCGCAGCCCCAGGCTGGGCTGGAGACAGCGGTTGGGATGAAGTGAAGAGCTGGGGTGGGAACCGGGAATGTTCTCTCATCCCCCCTACACAGGAGCAGGGTTTATGTGTAAAACTTCATCTCTGCCTCCACGCAGTCGAAGAAGAGGTCGGCCAGCTCCTCGGGGCAGGGGGCCACTGTCCCCTCCAGCAGTGCATTCATCCCCTCCAGGCCCTGCTTCTCCAGGTCCCGCAGCGTCTGCAGGAGCTTCTGGCCTCGCTCCTGGTGGCATTAGGAAGGGAGAAGAGCTGATACTTGGTACCCTCAAGGAGTTCCACTGCCTCCAACATCAATGGGGCAGCACGAGGGTCCCGGGGGGGGGCAGCAGCGCCTGGGGAAGGGTCTGTGGTACCTGGTCGCTCTCCATCAGCTCCAGCGCTGCCTGATGCCGCCGGTAGAGCTCGTGCCGCCGATCCACCGTGCTCTGGAACCGCGGGATCCGCTTGGCAGGGTCATCCCGGAAGGTGGGAGACCTCACCTGCGGCACGGGCTTGAGCCCGGCCACGAAGACAAAGGGCTTGAAGACAGACCTGCCGGAGAGGAGCACCCCTGGGACCGGGCAGCACGAGGGCAGACACTGCTCCCCAGGGATGCTCAACCTCGGACACAGCCTCATCCCTGGCACCCCAACGTGGGGCTGTCCCCTCCGTGTCCTCACCTGGAGGGGTCAGGGGTGGCTGTGAAGAAGTGGACGCAGGGCAGAGCAGGGTTCCGGGGCAGCACGGACACCATGCTCCCCGCCGTGCGGAACCCCTCCGTGTCCACACAGATCCCGCTGGCCTTGTCCCGTAGGATGGCCATGAACGTCTCTGCTGTGATGTGACCTGGTGGGTAAGGCAGAGCCTCATCACCACCGGCACCTGAGCTGTGCTCACAGCGACCACGAGGAGTGGGGAGAAGCTGGGATGAGCCATAGGGGGGGATTCCTGTCCCCTGTCCCCACCTGCGTGCTGCTGCAGCAGCTCCCTGCCGGCGCTGTAGCGGGCTTTGGCAGCCTCCATACGAGGGGGCTGCTGCATCAGGGAAAAGACCTGGGCGAAGCTGAACTCTCCATCCCCGCTCCACCAGCCCTGGCTGCGCACTCGCTGCCGCAGCCCCGGGTGCTCGGCCGTGATCTCCTTCCCGATGCTGAGCTGGTTGGAGATGTTCCGGCTGCCCTCTGCCAAGGCCGGGCTGTGGGAATCAGGCTGAGGGACACACACACACACACAGGGCTCCCCGTCCTCCCAGTACCACCAGCACCCGCTCACCTCGGATCTGCTGAGCTGCCCAGTACCGCCCAGCCGTCTCCAGCACCCAAGCCTCGGTGCGGTCAGCCAGCAGGAAGGTGTTGTGGTAGATGAAGGGCACCGGCTCCTCTTTGCAGCTCCCACCTTGCCCATAGCGCTCCAACAACGCCGTGATCACCTCCAGGGCCTCCCGGGCAGAGCTGCCCCGCTCCAAAGCCAGCCTGCCGCGCCGGCAGCACCCGTCTAACGGCGCTGGTGGGGGGCACGATGGGGCGGCCGCGGCACCGGCAGGGTCACAACACGGTCCTCACCTCACCAGGTCCATCCCCAGCAGCGCCTCGTCCTGCCCCACGGGCTCACGGGTCCAAACGCCCTCGTTGCCCACACAGACACCGTGCTCGTTGGCGCCCATCTCAGCACCCCAGAGCCAGGCGGGACGGCTCAGCACCACGGCGTGGGTCCTCTCCGCCTGCTCGATCTCCAGGTAGGTGCACTGGAGCGGGGGACAGGGCGCTGGGGCTGAGACCCGGCACGCTCAGTGCACTGCACCCGATGTCCCCAGCGCGGTCTCACCTGGACTTTGTCCCCGGGCCGGTGGGTGGCAGCGGGGACGTAGAGCACCTCCTGCACCTCGCTCCGCGGCCGGTCCGCGTTCTTGCCGAAGACGACGGCGGGAGCCGCGGTGTGCGGCGGCAGCGCCACGAAGCAGTCGCAAGACGAGGGTGTAGAATCGCATCTCGCCATCCTAAACCGAGCCCCGAGGGGGATGTCAGCCCCTTGGCCCCGTCCCCAGCGTTCCTTTAGGGCTGGGGGACAGCAGAGAGCCCATCCCTTAGGGGCACCTCCCGCCCCGGGACCCCGCAGCGCTGCACAGACCGCAGCTGGAACCCTCTCAATCCCCATAACCCCCTTTCGGGACCCCACGGACCTGCTGCCGTTCCCGCAACGCCGCCGCCGCCGTCCGGGCCCGCCCCCAGGCCCGCCCCGCCCGTGCGACGGCGGCGCCCCGTGGCCGGAGGCCGAACGGCGGCAGCGGTGGGACCGGCACCGACACCGGCACCGCCCGGGGTGTGGGGACCAGAGCCCGAAGGAGCCCGGGGACGGAGGTCCCGCGTTGCATCTCCCGTGGGGAAGGGACGGGGGTCTCCCGGGCAGGACCCCCAGTGGGCAGCATCCCCATGGCCATCAACCCCCGTGGTGGGCAGCACCCCCCATGCTGAGCACCCTAATGGGCATCACACCCCAAATGACAGCACCCCCCAATTGCTGTGCACGGGCATCACCTCCCAGTTGGCAACATCCCCCCAATGGGCTGCACCCCCACGGGCATCAGCCTCAATGGGCATCACCTCCCAATGGGCAGCACCCCCATGGGCATCACCCCACAACTGACAACACCCCGAGTGGGCATCACCCCCGTAGGCATCATCCCCGTGTTCAGCAGCCCCATGTTCAGCACCCCGACTGGCAGCACCCCAATGGGCAGCACCCCCATGCTGAGCACCCCAACGGGCAGCTCCCTCCGTGGGCAGCGTCCCGCAGTCACGCCCGCCCCGCGGTATGCGGGCAGACCTGCCGGCAGCTCCCTGCCCGCGGGGAGGGACCCTGGGCACCCGCCCGGCACGTCCCGGGGTGCAGGATGCGGCCCTCCTGAGGCCGGGGTTCATCTGGCCCTCACCATCCCTTCCTGCATCCCCATCCCGAGGCCAGGGTGAGGGTCTGCGGCTGGAGGGGGGGGGATACTGGGATACCGACACCTGGATGGATCCCTTGGCACAGATGGAGCCGGAGAGCCAGGGCGTGGAAAAACACGCGGCGTTTATTCCAGTACAAAACCCAATCCCACAGCCCCGCAGCCTCTTCACAGCACAAACGCTCCCCTCCTCTCAGGGGGGACACCCCTCGATGCAGCACCCCCGAACCTCTTTCACCCCCTTCCCCGGGGGGATGCCGGGGAGCCCCCCAGCTTGGCCGGTTCCTCCCTCGCCCCGGGGGAGGCAGCTCGGGGGTGGGAGACGCGGCGGTTCGGGGTGCAGGGCTGGGATCCCCACGCCGCAGCAGGCTGGACTGGTTTCGGCGGGTGGGAGCCGGCCTCCGGCCTTCCCCACCCGGTTTTACAGCCTTCATTGCCCCATCGCGGCAGGCAGGGCCCGGGGGGGTGCGGGGGTAGAGCGCACCTGGGGCCCCTCCTCGTAACCCCCCCAGCCCGGCTCCGAGCCAGGCGGGGGGCAGCTCTGTGGGGCCGACACCCCGCATCACAGGGGACACCCCCCCCTGCTCGGTGAGGCTGAGCCCCGGCATCACCGGGGAGTCCCCCTGCCAAGGGGGGTCCCTCCACAGCCCACCTTTGGGGTGCCCCCCAGTTCAGCCCCCCCTAAACCTGCCCTAGCAGCACAGGGGGTCCCCCAACACTCCAGAGACACCCCCCCCCGGCCGCGGCTGGAGGCAGGCTTGGCTACTAAAATCCAACGGGGCACCGGAGTGATGCTACAGCAACACGAGGAGGGGCTTGAGCCCCACCTCTGGGCTTCCCTCAGGAGATGAAATCCCAGCCAGGGGCTCCCAGAGGGAATTTTGTGCTGGAAAAGGCAAATGCTGGAGTCGGGGACGTCCTTCGAGAGCTGCGGGCAGCCCAGGTCACCCGAGTCCTGCGGAGGGACTGTCGGTGGCATTTGTGCCATGGGGCTGAGGACACGTTCTGAGACACACTCCCCCCCCCCCCCCCCCCCCAGCGAGACTTCACCTCGTGCTGGGTTTCTCCAGCCCCATAGCTTGTCCCCAGCCCCAAGGCACAGTGGGGCTGCTGTCAGCCTCATTGCACACCAGTGGGGATGCAGACAGGGTTCTTTGGGGGGTCCTACCCCCCATCCCCATCCATAAGGCCCGCGGCCACAGCTTCGGCCCGAGATGTCCACTCTGCCCGAGTGGCAAAGCCTGGCTTCACCTTAATAAAATAATAATAATTAATAATATTAATTAATAATAATAATAATAATACAATCAAACCCGAACGTTTTGGGGCGCCCTCTGGGCACGGACCCCACTCGACTTCACCTCCACCTCTTCCCCCCCAGACCTTGGGGTGCTCCGAGCCCGGGCAGCCCCCACCCAGAGCCCCCAGGATGGGGCCGTGCTGGGAGATCGTCCCCCCTCACATCCACCCCACTCCCCCAGATTCCCAACTGGTGTGAACTGGTGCTGCCTGGGGGGGCAAAGCCGGGGGAGCCCCGGGTGCCCTGAGCAGCCCCATCCCACCCGACCCCAGCGCTGCCCCCCAACACAACACCCCCCCACAACCCCTGACACCCCACGTCCCAGTTTCAGCATCTCCTTCTGTATCCAAGGGGTTCTGCCAAAATCGGGGGGGATAAGACCCTAAAGGTCTAAAACCCAAATTTCGCGGCCCACCAGCCAGGGGTGAAGGGCGGAAAGGGGACCAGAGGAAGAAGATACGGGAGAAGGAAAAGCTACGGGATCCCTGGTTGGGGGATGGCCCAGGCAGACACAGGGACCTGGGCAGGGACAGCTATGGGGTCCTGGGGGGGGGGGGACACGGACAGGCAGCATGCACAGGGCTTCCCTGGAGATACGGGATCCCGGGGGGGGGGGGGTGGCAGCATGCATAGGGAAGGGGCGGGGGGGTGCAGCGGGGGTCCCGCAGCTCCGCGGTCCCCAATGGGAGTGACGGCGCTGGGGGCATGGGGCGGGGGGGGGGGGGGGGGGAAGCTCCGGGCAGCGCGGCCGTGCCAGGCCGGAGGAATGCGGCCGCCCCGGCTCTCCCGGGACCGCGGCCGCCCCGGAGCTTCCCGCCCGGGGCCGCGGCGGCGGTGGGTGTGGGAAAGCTGCAGGTGTGCGCTTGGGCAACCGCCCGCCGCGCCACGCGCCCGCCCCGGCCCTCCCTGTGGGGCGCAAGGAGGGGAGTCACCCCCTAACCCCAAACAGAGCGGCCCCATAGCGTGAAGGACACCCCCCCCTCCCCGAACCCTGCGTGTCCCACAGGGGTGCCGGAACCAGCGTGGTTGGCAAAAGGAGAAGGGTGGAATGAGGAAAGGGGGGGGTGCTGAACCGGGAATGGTAACACTCATGGAAAGGGATATGGGGAGCGCGCCGGGGGGGGGACACGACTGTGGCTGCTCTCCCCAAGCAAAGGCTCCCGGGTTTCTCCTCTCTCCCTTTCTCCTTCCTCCCCTTTGGGCTGGACGTGCCCAGGCAGCGCCTGCTCCTTCGGCTCCCATTGATGTTGCTCCCAAACAGCCCCACCGCCTGCCAGCAGCCTCCCGAAAGGAGAAAAAGAGATGATTTGGGAAACCGGAGGAGGACGGGGGGGGGGGAACCGGGGCGGGAGAGCGGGAGCGGGACAAGTGAAACTGCCGCGGGGCAGCTCCGGCTCCAGCGCTCCCCAACCGGCACCGCCGTGCATTGTGTGTATGTGTGTGTCCCCCCCGCTTGGAGCACAAGGTGCCAGCCCTGCGCCCTCCCATCGCACCCTAAAACCCTTCGGAGACCAGCCCCAAAGGGACACTTCCCCCCCCCCCCCCAACCCGGGGCCCTCCCCACCTCCATCCGTGTCCCCCCCGGGGCTCAATGGCTCAGTTTGTGGGGGCTGCGTTCCCCCCCTCGGGCTCCCGCTTGCCTCCCTTGCCGGCCGACGGGTCCCCAGCGCCCTTGACCTCGGGTTCGGCCCCGTCTTTGCCCCCATCGTGCGTCTTCATGTGCTTGCCCAGGTGATCGCTGCGCATGAAGACCCGGCCGCAGACGGGGCAGGCGAATTTCTTGGCTCCGGTGTGGGTCTGGAGGTGCCGCTGAAGCTCGTCGGAGCGGGTGAAGCGTTTGCCGCAGAAGAGCCAGTTGCAGACGAAGGGTCGGTCCCCGCTGTGCCACCGTAAGTGCGCTTTGAGGTGGGACGTCTTGGCGTACGCCTTCCCGCAGCCGGGAATGTGGCAGTTGTGTAGGTGCTTCCGTTTCACGCCCTCGGGGCACGGACCCCCCCTTTCCGCCTCCTGGCAGTTGGGGCAGCGGCACGCAGCCTGCCCCCCGCCCCGCGGCACCGCACGACGGGCACCCTTGGGTCTCCCGCCGCCTTCCACCTCCGGCCCGCGGGGCTCGGGGGGACCCTCCAACGCCTTCGCTCCCTCCGCTCCCAAGAGATGCTGGGCTGGGGGGGGTAACAGATGGGCAGGGGGAGCGCAGAGCTGGTGCTCCCCACCACCGTATCCGCCTAGGGCCGGTGGCAACCCGGGGTGCCCCGGCACCTGTAGCCCCCCGCCTTGCCCGGGGGGCAGCTCCATCCAGCTTGCTCCGGCGTGGAGGTCCCACCAGTTGACGCCTCCTTCTTCACCGGGGGCACCGGGATGGGGGGGCCGAAACCAGGGCTCGTAGGGATGCGCCATGTCCGGAGGAGCGGCCGGTAGCAGCTTGGTGTAGGCACCGGGGGCCGCGGGGCCGTCGCTGGGCAGCTCTAACCGCGGGGGTCCATGCGGCTCGTAGGTACCGGGGTTGGCGAAGGCGACGTCGTCCGGACCCACCAGCGGCAGCTCCGGGGGGGGCGGTGGGTTCAGCGGACTGGCGAATTCGGCGGCCCCCGCCGCGGCGGTGCCGGTGCCGTGGGGCTGGAAGGGCTGCAGCGGCTGCAGGTCCAGGTGGCTCGGCGAGGCGCGGGGCGCGTCCGAGGGCTGAGTCCCCAGGGAGCCGCAGACCGCTGTGAGCATTGCCGAGCGGCGCGGGGCGGAGGCGCAGACAGACCTGCGGGGCCAAGGAGGGGTGGGTGGGGAGAGAAGAGCTGTGTGAGAAGGGGGGGCACGCACACACCTCCTACACTACACCCCCCCTTCCCTCTACCCCTGCGCACACCGGTATCAGTTCCTCTCCTGCACTGCCGTGCACCCCATCACCAGCGATCTCGGGGACACCCCTGAGCCATCGAGGGGGGCTCTGTGCTCTATAGCCCCGTGTGACACCAGGATAGTGACACCAGGTAAGGGGGGGTACCCCTTAGCACCCACCCCTATGTGCCTATGGATCCTGTGGCAGCCCCGGTGCTGCTGGGTCATGTTTGTGGCCCAAAGGGGTCAGTGCCTAAGTCCAAAATCTAAGAAACCCACCACCATCTCCCTTGTCACCCCCCCAGCCATGTCACCCCAACACAACTGGGGTCCCTATGGCGACGTGAGTGGTGTCCACAAGCCATGGGGGAACACAACAGCATCCCGGAGGCCACTCTGGCTCTCCCATGTCTCAGCCACACTGCGAAACCCTCTCCCCCATCCCTGCTCCTGCCCCAAGCCCCTGGCCCGGCTGCGAGCCCCCCAGGCTGCTGAAGGGGGAGCAAAACGCACCCCGCACCCCGGGGGCTGGTTGGCAGCAGGATGGGGGAGCGGAGCCGGCTGCGGGGCGGCAGCGGAGCCCCGGGGCTGAGCCACCGGCAGCGCTTTGAAGCCGGGCCCCGGACCCCCGGGGGCCACCCCTTGGTGCAGCCGCGGACCCCCCGGCACCCGCTGGCTGCCCCGTACGGCGCCGTGACTCACCGGAGCTGTGCAAACCCCACTGGGGACGGGCCCCACCCCGGTGTCGAAATCCACCTGCCGCCACCGGCTCCCGCCCCCCGACTTCCCACCGGCGCCGGGGGGGGGGGCAGCGGGGACCCCCCTCAACCCGCAACCCCTCCCCTCCCAGTCCCCATCACCTCTAGCCCATCATCCCCCCTGGCTCCCGGCCAGCCGAGTGGGACAGGGGCAGAGCCTCAAGGAGACCCCCCAAGGGGTGCTGAAAGCTTTGGGGTGGGGGATTCCCTGGGCAAAGGGACCAGACCCCCACTGCCCCCCAATCCCCAGTGTTATAAGCCCAGAGCAGGGAGGGGGTCTCCAGTGCTGAAGACACCCCCCACCCCAATTGCATGGGGACACTGTTTTCCCCGGCCAGATAGCACCAGAGGGGACAGGGGGACCCCAAAGGGAGCTGGGGGGGGGAGGCAAAATCCCCCCAGTAGGATCCCCCCATCTGTGCTACCAACACTTGTGGGTGTTCAGCCTCCAGGCAGGGTGGTCGCGGGTGGGATGAGCCCTCCAGGCCTGGCAGCCCGAGCAGGTTTAGGGGTGCTGCTCCCCAAGAGGGGCTCAGCTCTGCCCACTCTAATCCTGGGGGGAGTTTGACATCAGCTGTGGCTCCTGAGAATCATCCCTGTCTCCTGGGGACGCTAGAGGGGTGGGAGAGGGCTGGCACCAAGGGGCTCCATCCCTCTCACCCAGCAGTGGTCCCCAGTGGGGTCCTGAGCTCCCTCAGCCCCCTGCTCCCTATGGGGGCAAGACTGGAGTCACAAGCATAAAACCCCATGGTGACGGCATGTCCTGGGGCTTTGGGGTGGCAGCTGGCATTGCACAGGGTACCCCAGATCTGGGGACAAAGGAAACATGGCAGGGATGTCCCCCAGCTCTGACAAGAGGAGAAGGGACCCCCCCCCCTTGAGGTCCGGGCAGGTCCCACTGGACCCAGAGCCAACCCAGCCACACCACAGCGAGCTCCGGGCACCCCACTTCCAAACGCCCCTGCCCCAGCACCGAGCCCCCCAAACAGGTCTCACTGTAACTACACCATTCCCCGCTCTGCAGCCAGGAGAGGGGACCAGCACTGGAATGAGATGGGGGGGGGGGGAAGAGCCGGAGGAGCGGCTGCCCCAGCCACGCGTGGAGGCTCCCGGGGCTTTTTTCCATCCGGGAATGACAACAAAAAGTCCCCAAGGAGCTCCCGGCGTCCCCCTCCCTGGCGGGGCCCGGCGACGCTTTGGCCATTTCACCGCAGGGAAACTGAGGCACCGGCGAGTGATGCGTCCCGTGAGTCACGGCCCGGGCCGGGCCAAAGCCTCTCTGCCCGTCTCCCGCCCCACCGGTGCCTCGCCCCGCGGCGGGGCTGGGCGAGAGGCGCTGCCCGCAGTCCCGGCCCCGATCGGAGGAGCCCCGACGGGTGGCTCCGCAACGGCGGCGGGGCCGGGGCCGCGGGGTCGCGGTGATGCTGCGGGGCTTGCGGTGATGCTGCGGGCTTGGGGCAGGGAGGCGGACGCCGTGGGTTGGGGTAAGCGGGGGGGATGCCGCCGGCTCGCCGCGTTCACCCCGCCGCCCACCGCACAGCACCGCTCCCCGGTACCGAAGCGAAACTCCCCGAGGCTTTGTTATGGGGTGTGGGGGGGGACGGGGGACGGGGAACGGGACAGGGGACAACCCCCATCGCAACCTCGCACCGGCGCTGGGTCCCTGCCCTAGGGGAAAGGGCTCCGCGCTGTTGAGTTAATGGAGGACGGGACCGAGGGGCGGCGGGGGCAGCGCAGGGGCCGGCAGCCCCGGGGCTCGGTGGCCACTGGACGCGGCTGGGCGGCAAGCAAAGACTTGCCGGGGCTGGGCTGGGCTGGGGCGCGGAGCCACCGGCAGCACGTTCCCAGCCGCCGGCCGGTCGGGGCGGCCGCGGTAACCCTGACCAGGGCCGGGGGTCCCCACTGGGGAAGGGGAGGGATCCCCCTTTCTCCTTCACCGCCCGCCGTCCCCCGCTCCCTCCGTCCCTCCCTGCAGCCGCGGCGGGGCCGGGCAGCACCGGGGTGGGGAAGGGGGGGGGTACGTACGGGTCTAACGACGGCGGCGGCGGCGGCGGTGGGGAGGTCCCGGCGGGTCCGTCCTCATCGGCGTGGCGCGGGCGCTCGTTCCCGAGGGGACCCCGAGGGACCCGCGCGGCTCCCCAGGGACCGGGCACCCACTGGGCCGGGCGAGCAGGAATGGCCGGGTCCCAGCCCGGCGCCCGGCTCTTCCCTCCTCCCCACCGCCCAGCTCCACCCTCCCGGCCCAGGTGATTTTAACCCTTGGAGGCAGAGCCCCAGCCCCGATGCTTGACAGGAGCCAGGTCCCGGTCCCAGGATCCGGCTCATGAAAGCGGAGGGAGGGGACGGGAAGTTCGCAGCAGACACCGCAAACGAGGGGGGTAATTAAAGAAGAAAGACACAACCGCCTCCCTCCCGCGCCAGTGGCCGCCTTCCTCCTGCCAACCCCCCCGACGGGGACCCCCGGGCATCCCCCCGCCTGTCCCCCACCTCCCCGGGTGGTGCCTGCCGGCTTCCCTCCCCCCCCCCGGGGATGCGCCCCACACCATTTGGGGAGCTCGGAGCCCCCTTTGTGGCTCAGCCCTGTACCATGGGGTTAAATGGGATGGGGACAGGCACAAGGGGACAAGTTTTGGGGTCAGAGCTGGGCTGGTGGCAGGATGCTGATGGTGGATTCGGGGATATCCTGGCTGAGCTCGTCCTCACTGGGGGTGTCCAACCCTCCCGGCTCCCATGTCCCTACCACCAATGCTGCCGGCACAGGGGGGTGCCAGGAGGGAGAAGCCCCAGGAGATGCCACCCAGCAATGCCACCAACACTTAACCACTGGGGCATCGTGTCCCCATTCCCATGGCCACAATGCCCAGGCCCCCATTGGGACCCTCGTGGGCCTGGCAGAAGCCAGCCCCACTCCAAAGCCCATGGGAGAAGGTGCTGATTTCCTGGCTGGAGCTGGGATCTGGGCCGATGCCGCATCTCCCGGCGCTTGCCAAGCGCCCGGCCGGGTGGAGGGCGCGGAACTCCTTCGCCTTGGGGAAAAGCTCTCCTGGTTTTCATCATCCCAGGGATGGCTCCACCGTCGCCACCGAAACGCGGCTGCATGTGGGGTGAGCGTGGCCCCATGGCTTGGATGGGAACCCTGGGATGTAGGACCCCGAGGTGGGGACCTTGGGACAGGCGGCTTGGCTGTGCGTAGATGGTGGCGAACACCAGCTCTGGTGCTCTGCAGGGCACAGGGGGGGATGCAGGAGGACCGCAACCCCAGGGTCTCGCTGCCTCTCCTCCCCTGTACCTGCCTGAGAGGTGCCGGGGACCATCCCCGTGGCCTTGGGGCAGGGGATGCTCCGTCCTGGGGGTACCCCGGCGCTGGCTCTGGGGCCGGGGTGGTGGCCATGGGCTCTCCGGCTGCCTCGCAGGCACCGCGCTGCAGCCCCAGCAGCTCTCCGGGACAGGGAGCAGGTTTTGCATGGAGAGGATCCCGATCCCAGTTCCCATCCTGGCTGTGTGGCCACAGGGAGCAGGGACCCCATGGTGGGGACGCTGGCCTGGGTGGCCCTCGGTGCCCAGCTCCTGCCAGGAAGGATGTGCTGGGAAGCATCCCTGTGCTCCGGGCTCTCCTCCCAGTGCTCCAGGGACTGCTGGTTCAGGAGGTCCCTGCCTGGGGGTCCCCGGTACCGGTTGCCGTGGCTCCTCTCCCACCAATTCCCATTGTGGCCTCTTCCCCCCCTCACCACCGTGGAGGGGCTGCGGCATGGGAGGACATGGGACACCATGCGCCTCCTCCAGGGACAAGAGACGAGGAGTTGGGAAGTCCATGACCCGCTTGTGCTGCCGGTTCCAAGCCCCAAAGCTCCCCCGGGGATGCTCCAGACCCGTCCTCAAAGACCGCTCCTGGGCTGGGGGAGGAAGGAGGTACCGGGAAGTGGTCGGGAACAGTGGGGCGGGGGGGCTGAGAGCCTGCGGCTGGATGGGACCATGGGGACAATGGGGACAGGGGGGCTCCTGGGACCACCCATGGGAGGCGATAGCGCCGATGCTGGAGTACTGGGGGGGGGGGGGGCACCTCCGAGTGTCTGAAACCCCAAGCAGTGCCTTGAAATTACAGGTAATTACAGAGCCCATTTGCATCCATTGCAATGACAGGCAAATGCTTCCAGTCCCTCACAGGTGCCACCCCCCCTGCTCGGGGGGGGGGGGGGGGGGTGTTGTGGGGGGGGAGGGCCCTGGGTCCTACTGGGAGCCTGAGTGGGGACCAGAGGGGTCTGTGCTCCCCAAAACAACCACCGGGACCGCGGTGCCCCGAAAGGCACAGCCTTGGGGACACACACACACAAGGCCTTGGATGCACCCTGATGGGTGATGGGGGGGGAGAGAAAGGCTGCTATAGGGCAGGGGCTGTGCTGGGAGGGGGGGGGGGGGGCATAGCCCTATGGTGCAAGGGTGCTGGGGACATCCCTGTTCCCAGGGGAAAATAGGGGTGGGTGGGATGAGGGACAAAGGGATGGAGGGACAGATGGACAGAGGGATGGACAGAGGAGGAGAGGCACCTCCTGCCCCCCCCCCCAGGGCCAGGGGGATGGAGGGAGGGAGGAGGGAGGGATGCCCCCCCCCCCAAGGGAGGATGTTGTGGGGCAGAGGGATGGCCAAGGAACCCCCCCGCAGCCCCGGGGCAGAGGCTTCAAAGGGCTCCTGGCTCTGGGGACCTGTCGCAATTTCCTTCTGCTGCCATAAAACAAATTGGTGTTGGGGGGGGGAGCGTGTGCGTGTGCATGCGTGTGCATGCGTGTGCATGTGTGTGCATGTGCTGCATCCCTCCGTGTGCACCTGCTGCCTGCATGCACCCCCACACGTGTGGGTGCTGAGGATGGTGCCCTGCGGGGGTTCCTGGGGGGGGTCTGCAGCGGGTGCCGTGGGGCTGCGCTGTCTGGGTCGCCCTGACCTTGGGGGGAGCCCCAGGAGCAGCCGCAGGGCTTCAGACAGGGAGGATTTGGGGTGCCCCCCCCCGGGGCTCCGCACCCAGACAGCTCCGGGGGGGGTGACGCTGGGCTGGTGCTGTGGGTGCAGCCGGGGGTGATGGCTGGTGCTGGGGGGGGGGGCACCCCAAGTCTGCTGGGGCTGGCACAGTGGGGATGGGTGCTCATGGGGGGGGGGGTGTCACAGCCTCGGTTGAGCAAACCTGGGGACCGGCACCAGTCTGGGGTCCCTCAGCCCGAACTGGGACCCAGTGGGGTCCTCCAGCACCTCCAGGACAGGGTCCCAAATCCCCACGGCTGCTCCTGGAGCGCAGCCCCGCTGCTCCCACAAGGGAGCCACTAAAGCCAATGGAGGGGCCACAGCCCCATGGCATTCATGACCCGGGGACCGGTCTCCAGTCTGGGGTCCCTCAGACCCATCGCGGGGTCCCAAACCCCCCTGAAGGGCACAGCCCCATCGCTCCCACATGGGAGCCATTAAAGCCAATGGAGGGGACACAGTCCCATCCCCATTCCCCCCCCAGGCTGGTGCCATCACAGGGACAGGGGCACCGGTACCGCTGCGTCCCCGGGGACAGGCTGATGGCAGAGATATCTACCGGGATTATCGCGACGGGCTTCCCTGCTCGCGGTGCGTGCCCCGAGGCAGCGTTTCTCACCGGGAGCTGGAATTACTGTCGGGACTCGACCTCTGCGACGTGGCGATGGAGCTGGCGGCTCGGCAGGGTTAAACTGGGAGGTTTTAATTAGCCCCGGGTTAATCTCCCTGTTCTATCTGCGCCCAACCGGCCCCGGCTGTCAGTCACCGTGTGGGGAAACCTCCCCGGCACTGCGCATCGTGTGCCGGGATGGGCTGTGCCGGGAATGGGGATGGGGACATGGGGACGTACCGGGGGTGGGACACACGGATGCATCAGGGATGGGACGCTGGGCTACTACACTGGGGATGGGGCATGTGGCTGCACTGGGAATGGGGACATGGGGATGCACCTGGAAGGGGGAAATGGGGTGCACTGGGAATGGGATACGGGGCTGCACTGGGGCATGGACATGTGGCTACATTAGGGATGGGGACATGCGGATGCACTGGGAACAGGGACATGGGGATGGATGCACCAGGGACAGGGACATGTGGGTGCCACAGGGGACAGGGCCACACAGGTCCTCCCACAGCCACCTTCCCCCGATGCAGGGCTGTACCAGGACCCCCCTGGGGTCCCCATCCTGCTGTCCCCATGCCCGGTGTCGCTCAGACCCTCCACAAAACATCTTTAACTGCACAGAATCCATTGCAGCAGCTCCGGAGCTCGGCCGGGAGTGGGCCCGGGACGTGCCGTAATTGCTGTAATTGAGCGTGGGTTTGGGAGCGGGAGCGCAGCACCGGCTACCGGGTCCCTCCTCCAGGTCCTCCCGGTCCTCCAGGTCCTCCCGGTGTCCCCATGTTCCCATGTCCTTGAGTCCCTGTGTCTCCACGTCCCCCTATCTCCATCCCAAACCTGTGCGCCTGTCCCCTGCCTCACTGTATGGATCTGTGTTCTCTGTGTCCCCATCCCAGCCTCGCTCTGCGGTCCCCTGTGCCCCTGTCTCCCATCTCGCTGCCCAAACCCTCGTCCCTCTGTCCCCATATCCTCATGTCGCTGTGTCCCCATCCCAGCCTGTCTGTGCCAGCTTGAGTCCCCTGTCCCCTGCCTCACTGCACAAACCCTTGTCCCTGTGTCCCTTTATCCTCATATTCCCATGTCCCCATCCCAGCCCCGCTGTGCAATCCCCTGTGTCCCTGTCCCCCATCTGGCTGCACAGACCCTTGTCCCTGTGTCCCTATATCCTCCTATTCCCGTGTCCCTATATCCTCATATTCCTGTGTCCCTATATCCTCATATTCCCGTGTCCCTATATCCTCATATTCCCATGTCCCCATCTCATCCTTTCTGTGCCAATTGAGTCCCCGTCCCCCATCTCACTGTACAGACCCATGTCCCCCTATCCCCATGTCCCCATCCCAGCCCTGCTGTGCAATCTCCTCTCTCCCTGTCCCCTCTCTCACTGTACGGACCCTTGTTGTTGTATCCCCATGTCTCCGTTTCAGCCTTTCTGTGCCAGCTTAAGTCCCCGTCCCCCATCTCACTGTACAGACCCATGTTCCCATCCCAGCCCTGCTGTACAATCCCCTTTGTCCCTGTCCCCCATCTCACTGCATGGACCCTTGTCCCTGTATCCCCATATCCCCATCCTAGCCCTGCTGTGCAACCCCCTCTCTCCCTGTCCCCTATCTCACTGTATGGACCCTTGTTGTTGTATCCCCATATCCCCATCCCAGCCCTGCTGTGCAATCCCCTGTCCCCCATCTCACTGCCCAGACCCTTGTCCCTGTATCCCCATATCCCCATCCCAGCCCTGCTGTGCAACCCCCTGCCTCCCTGTCCCCCATCTCACTGCCCAGACCCTTGTCCCTGTATCCCCATGTCCCCATATCCCCATGTCCCCATCCCCGTCCCCCGCAGCAGCCATGGCC